ATTCTTACTTTAAAGATATATTATTTTTTAATATAAATTTATTGAAATAATATAATTTTGTGGTATTATTTCTCTTAATTTTTAAAAATTTGACTAACAGACACATTTTTCTTTATTTATTTATTTTTAATTAATCATTATATAATTAATTATTATAATATTTATTATTTTTTACAATAAATATATTTATTTCTAATTTTTATTAAAAATATATCAATAAAAAATTACAAATAAATTTTTTTATAAAACAAGATTTAAAAAAATAAATTAATATTTATAAAATAATATTTTTAAAAACTCAAATCTTCAATACTAATTTTTACCACCACCATAACTTAGTTTCCCGTCTCCGTCGCAGCTTGGATAATAATACATGTAAGCAAAACTGTTGAGTTGGTGAAAAAATTTGCCATTCAATCTTTGAGGTCCAATAAATTAATTAAATATTTAGTTTTTTAATAAAAATTAAAATATATCCTCCTTCCGATTCCCCAGTTCCTTTATCTTCATTTTCATCTTTCCACCCATTCTTCCACCTCCTTTTTCCCTCATCATCTTTTTATTATTATTATTAATTTTAACTAGAACCCAATGTGGGTTTCTTTTAGAACCCAAATCTGGGTTTTTTTAAAAAAAATATTTTTTTGTTTAATTTTTGTTTGATATGAATTTGCTTAAGGTTAAATATGTAACTTTAGCTATTGTGGGACCTTGGGTAGATAAATTTGTTGATGTGCGTAGTGAGGTGGGAATTTTAGGTGGTTAGTGAGGGAAGACGTGAGTCACATGACTCTTTTTTTCTATGAACCTTTTTTTTAAATACAAAAATGAAACTTGAATCTTACATTTTTTACATGTATAAGAATGCCCTTATCAATGCATGGGTGGTCATTGGCCACTAAGGACTTCTCAATTTAGTTACAAATTCTTAAAGCTATGGAGTTAAGAGGCTTAACCTTCTAACTTTATAATTTAAAGAAACCAAAGCTCAAACTTAAAAAGTCCAAGGGCCAATTTAGTACTTTTGCCTGCATCTTTCTAGGCGGGGTATCTATTCCCCTAAGTCTTGGTCTTTAAATTTGTCCTCACACCGATATTTGTAATGTCTGTCGACTTTTTACCCAAAAAGAAAAAAAAAAAAAAGTCTGTCGACTGATAGTGACAGAGTGGGGAAAGAGACAAAGAGAGAATCACTACTTTTTTTTATTTCTCTTGACGTCATTGTGTATGTAATGTTGATGAGATAGTCATTGAGGTTCTCAATCAAAAGGGGGTTGATGGAATAGAAATAAGGATTTTTTTTTTTTTTAATATATTTGCAAGGGGCGGGTTTCGAACCCAGCCCGGAGAGAGGAGAATGCATCGGGGTGATTATTGCCACTAGTCCTTAAGAGCCAAGTGTAAAATAAGGATATTTATAAAGTAAAAACTAGTAGAAGAGAATAGAAATACATCATCCTTATTATTATTTTTTTTGTAATTTTTTTTTTTGAACAAGTTGTCAAAGACGGTTCGGAACCGTTCAGGAAAGAAGGAGAATGCACTACAAGTTGTAGGGTGCCAGTTGATTTGAAGAGACATGTGCATTATTATTTTTTTAATTATGTGAAATAAAGTAGTAATATTTAATAAAATCTTTTGGTAGGTAATAAAAAGGAATTATTTATTAGTTAATGGTAGAGTATGGTTGAAATCTTGCAATAAAAATAAATTAAGGAAAATTAAAACTTATTTGTTAGAGTCAATTTCTTCTCTTATGAGGCATTTTTAACAGGCATGTTGAATAATTTGAAATTGTGAAAATTTCACAGATGTGAAAAATAAAAAATTAAAGAAATTATAGAATTCAAATTATATACTTAATTTTGAAGGAGTTTTTAAATTTTATTGTATCATAATTTTTTTTTTAATTTTATAAAAAATAAGATCATATCTCAAAATTGTAAAAGTTATGGGTTAAAATTGACAAAACCCCCATAGCAAGATGTAGCATAATCTTTGGTGTCAATATTGGGACCGTTTCTAGGAATCTACTTTGGAATTAACATTGGCATTGTTTGTGTGGGAACTTACCAGGACACTCGATCAAATAAATCATTAGCACAACTCCCTGGGAGGGCTAATGTTGTAATCAGTGATGGTGAACATTCCACAT